GGTACTGGCGGCCGTGGATGCTCGATGCTTGTTCGCTGTCTCCCGGCTCCCCGACCCCGCTCCCCGAGGAGCCGGGCCGGTGCTGAGCGCTGTCCCTGCAGAGCGGGCGCGGGGCCGGCGCGCCGCCTTGTCCTTCGCGACCATCGCCGTGGTGCTGGGACTGCCGCTGTGGTGGAAAACGACCGAAACCTACCGGGCTGCCCTGCCCTACGCGGACATCGATGGGCTCAGCCAGCAGCCGGTGAGCGCCGGGCGGGCCTGGGGGCGGCGGCTCTGGGGACTCGGGAGCCCGGGCTGACGCTGGCCCTGTGCAGGTTCAGCTGGTGGTGCCCATGGCCGTGGTCTTCGCCCCGGGATCGGTGCCCGGGGACCTGCCGAGGCCGCTGCCCTTCAGGGACGTGCAGGAGATGGAGATTTCCGTGAACCGTGAGAGACTCCTTTGTCTGTCCCTGTTCCGTCTGCTCCTCACGGGTGGCCTCGTCCTTTCGTGGGGGTCCCAGCCTGCCCGTGGCTTCACTCCCCGGCAGCCCGGAGCTTCCGGGACCCCGAGCTCCATTCACCAGCATCACCCTGCCCTGAGCTGGCAGTGCAGGGAGCAGGGGTGGGACAATGAGGTCCCAGGATGCTGCAGGGAAGGAACCAGCCCCCATCCTGGGGATGGGGCTGATGGAGCCTTTGGAGGGTGGGATGTGTCTGGCTGGTGTGGGGCTGTCTCACTAGCGGTGTAGTGCTACATCCCATAATGGCTTGTCCCACTGGCACGCAAAGGACCTCGTGCTGTGTGTCCCCCTGGGGTTGTCCTTTGTCCCTGTGAGCACCAGGCTCCTGTGAGGGGCCTGGGATCAGCAGGTTCACTCAGGTTTTCTGCCCCGCAGTGAGAACCAGCGTCACGTCCCGCTATGAGATGCGCTATCGCAGCACCACAGCTCAGGAGGAGGCAGCACTGGCTGCAGCGACTGCACGAGGTACTGGAGCAGGGAATTGCTGGGGAGCTCCTTTTCCTGAGGCTGGCACAGCAGAGAAAACACTTTGCTTTGTGTCAGAGCGAGACAGGGATTGGAGTGAAATTCCCAACCCTGCCAGTGCTTCCATCTTCCCCAGAGGCTGACGCTGCTCTGTACCCGCTGCAGGACACCACCTTGGGCTCTCTGACCATGTACGTGGTCCCTGAAACCTCCTCTCTCCTGCCTCAGGTAGGGAGCAGCACCCTGTGTGTGACCGTGTTCACAGGGGTCTCAGGTTGAGGGAAGAGACGAGGATCTGACTCCATGTTTCAGAAGGCTTGATTTATTATTTTATGATATATATTACATTAAAACTATACTAAAAGAATAGAAGAAAGGATTTCTTCAGAAGGCTAGGTAAGAATAGAAAAAGAACGAATCATAACAAAGACTTGTGGCTTGGACTCTCTGTCCGAGCTAGCTGACTGTGATTGGCCACTAAGTAGAAACAACCAAAATGGACCAATCACAGATGCACCTGTTGCATTCCACAGCAGCAGATAACCATTGGTTACATTCTGTTCCCGAGGCCTTTTGGCTTCTCAGGAGGAAAAATCCTAAGGAAAGAATTTTTCATAAAAGATGTCTGTGACACCTTGTGGTGCCAGCCTTTGCATACTTCACCCCTGGGAGGTGGCACATGTCACAGGTGGCTGTCACAGGTGGCACCGTGCTGCTCTCAGGGCTCTGCTCCCATCCCCAGGGCATCAATGTCTACGTGGGGAAGCACCGCAGCGCCCTGGTGAGGGCTGGGGGTGGCCTGGCTGCTCTGCAGGCCCGGCTGAGGGAGGTGACACAGCTGATGTCCTTCACGGCCACCTCCATTGCCGCCGCCCTCTCGGACCGTGTGCCTGACGGGCAGCTGGGCCCCGACGCACGGCGCAACCTGAAATCCAGCCTGGGTATGGATCCATCCCTGCTCCCTGGGCTGGGAAACCCTCTGCTCCTGGGGAAGGTGTTCCCAGGCTTCAGGAAACCCTCTGCTCCTGGGGAAGATACCCCCAGGCTTCAGGAAACCCTCTGCTCCTGGGGAAGGTGTTCCCAGGCCTCAGGAAACCCTCTGCTCCTGGGGAAGATACCCCCAGGCTTCAGGAAATCCTCTGCTCCTGGGGAAGGTGTTCTCAGGCCTGAGGAAACCTTCTGCTCCTGGGGAAGATGCCATTCCTGCTCTACTTGTGGCATCCCTGGATGGCTTCTGGGCTAACAGACCCCTTTGCCTGTAGCAGTTCTGGGCCAGGGCTGTGCTGTGATTGCTCTGTTGGTGTCACCCCACACTGGGGTGGCCCAGGGAGGAGGGGACAGGCCCTGCTGCTCTTGGGAGCTCTGTCACAGCCTCGGTGGCTCACAGGCTGTGGGTCCTTGCAGGGTATGAGATCACCTTCAGCCTGCTGAACCCTGACCCCAAGTCCCACACTGTGGACTGGGACATTGAGGGGGCTGTGAACCGCTTTGTGAAGCCCGTCCTGGACAAACTGAGCTTGGTGGCCAACTTTTCTGTGGATTCACAGGTGAGGGCTGGGGGGGATGGTGAGGAAAGCCCAGCCCTGACCTCCCTGGGGTGCACTTCTCTGCCAGCACCATGTCCCTTGTGTGCCTGCAGATCCTGTACTACGCTGTCCTAGGAGTGACACCACGCTATGACAAGGAGTCCTCCAGCTTCCTCCTGAGTGCTCACAGCCTCCCACACGTCATCAACCCCGTGGAGGCCCGGCTGGGTGAGCACTGTGCTCGTGGCTCACTGGGATCTGTCTCATGGCTCCCTTTCCCCCCAGCTCATGTGAGAGCTGCTTGAGTAGCTGTGAAGGAGGAGCTGGGCTGTGGGCTGCTCTTGCTGTCCCTTCCAGCCACAAGAGTTCTGTGACTCTGTCCCACTGCAGGCTCCAGTGCTGCCTCACTCTACCCCGTGCTGAACTTCCTGCTCTATGTGCCAGAGCGCTCCCATTCCCCTCTGTACATCCAGGACAAGGATGGAGCCCCAGTGAGCACCAACGCCTTCCACAGCCCTCGCTGGGGTGGCATCATGGTATGGGAACCACAGGGGTGCTGGCAGTGCTGGGACAAGGTGGTGGCTCCCCGTTCCCAGCTGTTGGCCCTGAGGCCCTGGCTATGTCTCATTAACATGCATTCCCACAGGTTTACAATGTGGAAGCCCCTGCTTCCCCCCAAACCTCCCTCCCTCTGCATGTGGATGTGGACATGGCACGAGTGATGGAGGTTTTCCTGGCCCAGCTCCGGTGAGGATGTGCTCTTCCCTCCCCAGGCCTCTGTGGAGATCAGTGGGTCAGAACAGGCTGTACCCAAACAGCTTGTTCACTCCTCCCTCTGTGGGCTCTGAGGGTGGCTCTTTGTAGCCTTCAAGGTGCTGGCTACTGGCCATCACTGCTCTATGGCCAGGGATGCTGGCACATCTCCCATTTCCTCAGATAGGAAGCTTGGCTTATCATGCCACACATCCAGGAGACAGTTAGGCAGGATTGGGACTAAACACAGCAGGGAAGAAGAGCAGGGAGCTCAGCATGGGAACGAAGCCCTTCTGATGTGGGCTTCTACTCCCTTCTACTCCCAGGTTACTCTTTGGGCTGTCTCGGGAAGAGGTGCCCCCCGAGTTCCTGCTGGAAAGCCCAGGGAATGAGGGGCTGGCTGACTGGGAGCTGGATCACCTGCTGTGGGCCCACACCGTGGAGAACATCGCCACCGTGTCCACCACGCTGACCTCGCTGGCCCAGCTCCTGGACAAGATTGGCAACATTGTCATCAAGGATGATGTTGCCTCTGAGGTAGGGCTGGGGAGCAGAGGGGGCTGAGTGTCCCCGTTGCCCTCCCTGGCCAGGGACTGACCCTCGGTGTTGTTCCCACACAGGTGTACCGGGCAGTGGCCTCTGTGCAGAGCGCTGTGACCGAGCTGTCCCTGGGCCACCTGCTCGCAGCTTTCCAGGCCAGCAAGGAGGCTGTCACCTGCTCGGAGAGGGCCTTCTTTGACCCATCTCTCCTCCATCTCCTCTACTTCCCTGATGACCAGAAATTTGCCATCTACATCCCGCTCTTCCTGCCCATGGCTGTCCCAATTCTCCTGTCCCTGGCCAAGATTGTCCGGGAGACCAGGCTGCGTAAGAAGGAGCCCACCAAGATGGACTGAGCGATGGTGCCCTGCCTTGGGGCTGTCCCCACCCCGTGGGGTGGTGTTGTCACAGACTCATGGCCCAGAAAGGCACCCCAGGGTCCAGGCCTGGCTGCTTGGCTTGGGTGTGCCAGGGCCAGGATGCAGGATTGGCAAGAGAGGCTGTTTTGGGAAGTGGGAAGGGGTCTCAATTTGGGTGCTGAGCCCTCCTGCACCTACAAAGGCTGAGAGGGGAGGGAGGGTGCTGCCTTTGTGCACCCCCAGCCTGGTGCTGTATTCAGAAGAAGCTGCTGTGTAAATAAAGAACCCCCTGTTCTTTGGGGGACGCTGATGTGGGGCTGTGTGAACCTCCTTTAGCCTTCTGGGGGGTACCTATTGCCCTGCCTTCCCCTGGCCCCATTCCATTGCTTTATGGGTCTGGCTTCTGTCTTATGCGTATTTAGCCAAAAATACTTGGTTGGGGAGGGAGGACAGTTCCTGGAATCCATCCCGTCCATGGGTGCAGAGCCCCCGGGGGCAGCCCGGCATCCAGCTCCTGCACCGTGTGTCGGTCTGGGGATGGTTGGGGCGGCTGTCCCTGTGCTCCGGGCCAGGTGTGGGCTCTGTCCCCACCTCACCTGGGGGGCTGACCCCCATGGCGGGGGGTTCGCAGGAGGGGACACCCCATTCTCCTCCAGCAGACAGGGTTTGCCCTGAGCGCCTGGCAGCAGCGTGGAGGGGCCGCTTTCCTTCCTCGCCCGTTCCTCCCCCTTCCCGCGGAGCCGGGCGGTGCTGGCGGCCGGGGGCGGGCCGGGGGCGGTGATGGCGATGCCCCTCCCGGTGCGGCGGCGCGCAGCGGGGCCGGGGCCGCTCACACCGGCGGCGGCGGCGGCGGGGCCATGAAGGTGAAGAAGAGCGGCGGGGCCGGGGCGGCGGCGGCGGCCAGGACCGAGGAGGAGCTGGGCCGAAAGGCGCTCATCGGGCCCGACGATGTGCTGGGGCTGCAGCGGGTCACCAGCGGTGCGTGCCGCGGATGGCGCTGGGGGAGGATGGGGACCGCGTCCCCGTGGGGAAAAAGGACAGCCGCTTCTCCTCTCTAAACCGGGGGGGAAAGAGGAGCCGTTCGCCCTTTTAAGGGGGCTAACCCAGAGGGAAAAGGGGAAGCGGTGCCCCCTTCCCGGGGGACAAGAAGTGGGGATGCAGCAGGGCAGGGGACAGAGCCCGCAGCGGGATGTGCCACCCCGGGGGCTGGGGACCGGCGGGAGAGCAGGGGTTCTCCCTTCTCTTCTTGAGTGCAGCCCCCCAACTCTGCTCAAAGGTCGGTGTTGGGATGCTCCTCGCTGCTCACCCCATTCCCTGTGTCTGCTCCCACCCTGTGCCCACGGCAATGGGACGGGCTGAATCCCTGGCCACAGCATGGGGGGACTTCAGAGCAGCCCCCCAACCCATTTCCCCTCTCTCCAGTGTAGCACCCGAGGTCTTGAGGGCATCTTGGAGGCGGTGGGTGGGAGTGTGTGCCTGGAGGGGCTGTTGTGCTTGGCAGAAAAGCTCGGGACAGCAGCACACAGGGCTGGGGAAAGGCCAGGACAGGGGGGAATGGCTTCACACTGATAGAGAGCAGGTTTAGATTAGATATTAGGGAGAAATTCCTCCCTGGGAGAGTGGTGGGGCCCTGGCATAGAGAAGCTGCTCTATCTCTGGAAGTGCTCAAGATGAGCTTGGATGGGGCTTGGAGCAGCCTGGGCTGGTGGGAGGTGTCCCTGCCCCTGGCAGAGGGTTGGAACCAGATGGTCTTTAAGGTCCCTTTCCATCCCAAACCATTCCATGGTACTGCCTCAGGCCAGCAATGCCCAGGGACAATCTGCCCTGGTGTCTTAAAAAGTCCTTTTTCCATCTCCTAGGGACCTTTGGGTTGTCTCTCTGGGCTGTCAGGGCTGAGGGGGTGCCCGGGGGTCTGGCTGTGCTCCCTGTGCCTCTCAGTGCTCTGCCCTCCAAGCCAGCTCGGTGTCACAGGCCGGGGCTGTGACGAGCCCTGGAGAGGAAGGATGCGGCTGTGGGTGCTGCTGCGTGCAGGCAGCCCCGTGGGGCTGCTGTGTGAGCAGGAAGGGAGGAGGACAGCCCGCCAGGGACTCGTGTCAGCCCTCAGAAAGGGCTCACAGAGGCTCCTCTGAGAGGGGCTGCTGTTGCTGGGGACCTTTGGGTCGCCTTCTGCGAGCTCTGCTGGTGCAGCTGCGTGATTCACTGCCCAGAAATCCCCTGCCTGTAGCAGGGAGAGCACGCAGCAGGCGCTGGAGCATCCTGCCAGCATCCTCAGTTGGATGGTGAATCCCAGCCATGGCTGTGTGAAGCTCTGTGTGCTCACTTCATGGCAGCCTCTGTGTCCCTGCCCTCGCCAGGGCTGTCTGGAGGGGACAGGGCCACCCTACAACCTTGCTGTCACCTCGTGTGGCATCAGTGGGGATGGATGGTGCAAGCTCCTGCCTTCCCAGGGAGCAGGGATTGCTAAGCTGGTGAGCCAGGCTTGGAGCAGAGCTGGCTGTTGTCTGCCTCTTCATCCCTGGGTCAGAGTGCTCTGGAGCACAGGGAGGATGTGAAATGCATGAAAATGTTGTGTTCCCCTCCTGCTGAGAGTTGCTGGTACCAGGGTCAGAGCCAGGCACTGTGATGATGTCCCAGGCTTACCTTGGGAAGTGCTTCCTGTCCTGCTGGATGTGTGGGAGCCAGGAAATGTCCCCCACACCTAAAACCCTCGGTGAGTTTGGGGATACAGGTAAACAGTGCACCCATGTTGAGCATATTGTATCTTATCACCCAGGAACACTTTGCAACTCCCCTTCTCAAGCTCAGTTTTCATCCTGGTGGGTTTAACAGACAGCAAAGAATATTTTTCAGATTTTTAACACCTCATGATTATTTGGGGCATTTTATGGCCTTTGCTCATTTCTACACCCTTAAAAACAGATGGCCAGAAATAGCAATGTGAAACTGTTCCACTCTTCTGCTTCAGGTAGGGGAGGAGGAAGGACCAGGCTGTGGGAGAGAAGTTCACAGCTGCCCCAGCCTTTTGGACGTGCTGGGTGTCAGGGCAGACACCACACCCTGTTGCAGCAATTCTGTCTTTGACAGGTTGAAATTGAAGGAGGAGTTGGTGGTGGGGCTGCAGCAGAAATGTCCTGGTGCCCTGGCTGCCCTTTGTTGTTCCAGAGAGAGGATAATCCATCTTTATCCAAATTCGTGGGCCAGTAGCACTTCAGCTCACACATGGAACTGTGTCCTGCCTGGGACCCAGGGAGGGCTGGCTGTGTTTTAGGGTTGCTTCATCAACCAAAGCCCAGCAGGGCTTGGTACCACAGGCAAAGTATGTTTTAGGAATGCTCACACCAGGAGCTGGCTCTGTGTTTCTGAGCAGCCTTCCAGGTCTCCAGGGAGAGGTGGAATTCTGGCTGTAGCACAGAATGGTTTGGGCCGGAGGGGACCTTAAAAACCACCTGTTCCAAGTACCTCACCAAGAACAGGAACACAGGAACCTTCCACTAGATGAGGTTGCTCCAAGCCTCACCCAACCTTTCCTTGAACACTTCCAGGGATGGGGCAGCCACAGCTTCTCTGCCCAACCCCTGGCAGTGCCTCAGCAGCCTGACAGGGGAGAATTCCTCCCTAATCATCCTTCCATCAGGCAGCACAGCTGGACTTTGCTCTCCCAGTGGGTGCAGCTGACCCAGTGTGAGCTGGCTGGGCTGGGAGGGTGGCGAGGCAGGATGTGGCTCTGTGGGCAGCCACAGGAGCCAGCTGGGCTCTGCTCTTAATGTGCTTCTAATAAGCTTAACTGGGGAGTTGTGTGAACTGCCCTGCGCATTCTGTGTGCTCCCAGTGTTAAATTCCTCATCAGCTTTGTGCCCACAACGTTTCTGGGCACGCTGGGTCCAGCCTGGTGGATCTGGGATGCTGCTCTGGGATATCTGGGCCTCCTGGCCAGGCTGGTTCTGGCTCTGCTCCAGCTGGATCAGGTGTAAGGCTGGAGAACCATTTCCTCTGCAATTAGTGAGATTTGTCACTCGCTCACACAACTGTGGTTGGGAAAAGCGGAAAAAGCTCATGACGTGATTAATTTAAGATTAGCAAAGGAGTGGGGCAGAGCTCAGTTCAAATTGCAATTAATTACTGAGGCAGCCAGAGCATCAGAGGAGTCAGATGTGTAACAAAAGACAAGCTCCAGCCTCTGAGGCTGCCCTGCTTATCACTTACACACTTTGCCTGGAATACCAGATCAAATCTTACATTTTAAATTTTATTCTAATGCTGATTTTATTTTAGGAAACCAAGGGGTTAAATAATTGATTACATGTGTGGAAACAGTTTCAAAACAAACCCTAAAAATAAGGAGCACACACGTAATCATTTCTGAAAGTAATCTCTTCCTTGAGCTGTCACTTGGGATTTCTCTGAGACTTCTCTAGGCAGCTTTAGCTAAAGGCCAGCTTGGCACAAGGCTGCCTCAGTGGGTTAGGCAGGCCAGACCCTTCTTGAGGGACTTCCATAACAGTTTCCTGCAGTCAATTAAAGAAAAAAATCCCAAATAAACTATTTCCCTCCCCTCTGCCTCAGCAGTTCAAGTCCTGTAACACTAAACCATCCAGGATCCATGTTGAAATCACTTTCCAAATCCATGGGGTTTTGATAGGCAAGGAGAGAGGGAGGCACTAACAGGAATGTGAGGCAGATGTGCACAAATCCATCTTCAAAGCTGCTCCTGGACCATGACTTCCCTCCCCAGTTAATGGGGAGAATGTATTTTATTAGGAGCTCTGAGGAGCTGTGGGTGTCTGCAAGGTTAATAAATCCCTGCTCTGCCTTGTCCAGGGCTGTGATGTGTGGCTGTGTTTTGATGTGCTGACCTCTTGTTGCAGAGCTGTGCCAAGCTGCTCTCCCCACAACCCTTCCCTCAGCATCTCACCCAGGCTGTGAGCTTTTCCAGGGCTCTGTGGTTCCCAAAGTCTCACAGCACAATGGGAGCTGTTAGGATTCCCAGGGGCAGCACACAGAGTGTGTGTGTGGTGTGGGATTCCTCCTTCTCCCAGGGTTGTGGGTTTGGGCCATCCCTGGTGGAAGTGGCAAAGGTAAGAGGAAAGCTGAGGGAGTCAGCCTGAGGGTCTGGGCAGAGCTTGGCTTTGGCTCAGCCCAAAAATAGCTGATTTAGTTGGTGTTGTGCACGTGGTTTCAGATTTTGAATGCAATCAGCATGAAAAGGGGGCAGGAGAAAGTGTTTGGGTGCCTTGGAAATGGGGGAAGAGCAGCTCCATCCACAGGCTGCAGGGCTGTGATCAAATTAATTGTGAGAGGGTGAAGTCTGGAAAGCTCTAGCTAAAATTAAAAAAAAAAAAAAAAGAAAAAAAAGAGATGAGCAGGCTGCCACAAAAATCAGAGCCTGGTGAGCTGTGCAGTAGGACTTGGCAACTGAGGGGCTCTGGGGACCTTGGGAAGTGCCTCAGCCTGGAGCCTCCTGCCCTAAATCCCTCTGCTTCCTTGACAGTAAATGTGCTGCTGTGGAAAAACCCCTGTGGGATCCTTCTGGTGCAGGATTTTCCCTCTGGGGCACTGCAGCAGCCTAATTCCAGTGCTAGGTCAGAGGGCAGCTGCTCCCTCCCTGTGCAATCCCCTGCTCTCTGGTTCTCCAAACCCCATGGTTTGGGTTGGAAGGATTTATTTTACAGGAGCAGATCCCGTTTCCTGGCTGGCTTGGTGTCACAGGGCCTGAACTGCTGAGGCAGAGGGCAGGGAAATGGTTTATTTTTTCCTTTAACTGAACCCAGGCTGTCTGGGCAGGTGTATCAATAGCACCTGAAGCCTGCCCTGCCTTGCCCTCAGGTCCTGCTCCGTGTCCTGCGTCACTGCTCGGCCTCTTCGTGGGGTCTGGGCTATTTTTGCTTCCTCCTGAGACTCTTCAATCTGATAATCTCCTAATCTCCAGCTCCTGGCAATTCCTCTGCAGTTGTCTTGGCTTTATACCTGGCTTATGTCTTGGGAGTTGGCTTCAAAATAGCTCCTGACCTTGTTGGTTAATGCATGTTAGGAAATAGGCCTGCATGACTACAGGAGCCTTCTCATCCATTCCCTAAATTGTTGTTGTTGTCTGTGTTGGGGAGAGAAATTCCTGTTACAAGTCACTGCTGTTGCCTCAGTCTCTTGTACAGCATCCTCCTGATTTACACCCATTTCCAGGACCAAATTTTCAGTTCTTTCTTACCCTGGGTGCACTCTGCTTTCCTTAGTGGGCTCTTAAGGCCTTAAAATAGCAGCTGCCCCATCTGAGATTAGACTCTGATGAGCACAGAAATATCCCTGGTGTCTGTGAGAGGGGACACGTGCTTCCTCCTGATTGCAGAGATGGAGAAGGGATCTTGAAAAGGAGCACAACAAAGAGTGTGAATCCTATTGCCCATGAGCTTGTGATAAAATGGGCCTGATGGGGTGGTTGCAAAGGAAATTTGGAAATACAGGATCAAATTTTAGCTTTCTGTCATGAGGAGCAAACCTCATCTCATGTATTTAAATGACAGGGAGAGGTCCAGAGGACAAAGTGCCTTTGTTTGCTTTCCTGTGTTATTTAGCTCTGCATTATCCCTCACCTTTTGTGCTCCTCTGTAGCACCAGCTGCTAAAACACACACTTAGAGTTCTGCACCAGGGTTCAGGATGTGCCAGCGTTCACAGGCAGTGCCTGCTGGCATTGTTCTGCTGGTTTATTTTGTAATTTTGGTTGGGTTTGGGAGCACAGGAAGGTTTCCTGGATAAAAACTGTCTCTTTCCTGGATTAGGCAGTGGAGGTACCAGCTCAGAACTGTACCAGGGGAAGGAGCACTTGCTTATTCTGAGGGCAAAGCTAGAGGCCACTGAACTGTTTGGGGTCACTTTGGAATCACTGTTTCCTACAAAGGGAATTGGAGAATTTGTGAAGGAACTAATTGAGCCCGATTCAGGAAGCCAATCACCTCTGCTGCTTCCTCAGACCACCACAGTGGTGTTGGTTGTGACCCAAACTCTTCACAACTGTGATAGGTCTTAAGATAGAAATTGTCTCTACAAGTGGGCAGTTGCAGATCTTTGGGCATGATCCAGAGGTTATGGGAGAGGAGCTGGCACCATCAGGAATGGTGATGTGTGAGTGAGAAGTGGCTGCTAATACCAGGTGAATTGTTTTCAGGAAGGGTTTGGGGATGGAGGTCTGGGATATGGCAATTCCCTGGGCTTTAGGAAAGGGTAGGGAGTACTCCTCTTTTGTGACCTTTTTTTTTGCACTACTAAATGTGGGTTCTTAAGGATAAAAACCAATCTGATGGGTTTTCCATGGCAGTGCTGCTGTGTCCATGCCTTCATCCCTAAATCAGGTGAGTACTGAAGGCTCAGGGACACACCATGATGGTTCAGTTATTAACAGGGAAGCAGCACAACCTGCTTCAGGGGAAGTGGAAGAAACAAGAAAATATTGCATCCTGAGAGATCAACCCACCATTGTTAGTTTCTCTGTAACAATCCCCTCCATGGAGGTTTGATCTCCTCATTCCCAGCTGAAATAACCAGGGCTGCTGCCTCCCTTCCCCAAATCCTGGTGATGCTGAATTAGGGTAAGAGAGGCAGATGAGACATTTCAGTGAGTCACGGAAGTGTGGGCAACTGGGCCCTACAGTAATTTAAAAATAAGTGTGTATGGGATGAGATTAGCAAATCTGACAGTGCTCAGCTAAGCAGAAGGATCTGCCAATTGCAAGCAGCCCATTCCCAATAAGACCTTCCAGTGCAGCCTCGGGCTCCTGTTACGTGTGGGGGAAAAAATCAGCACGTGGCTACTTTGATTGATTTTTGAACAGGAACAGCAGAAACAAATGTAGTACAGACTGAGAGGAATGTATATGTAATACAGACTGAGAGGAATATATATTCCTCTGGTTTTTCTTTTTTTTTTTTTTTTTTTTCTTTCTAGGAGACTGGGCACTGCCAGAGGAGGAAAAAACCCACTTGGTTGCAGTATTCTGGCAGCTGATCTTCCCGGATGGCATCCAGTTGTATATTGGCATGCTGATTTAAAAAAAACCCAGTAACCCAACCCAAAAAAAGGGTTTAAAATATTATCAGGGCAAAAAGAGTTGAAAAATAACAGTGTAGGGGTGCAGGCATCAATGAGCAGGAGCCTGGTGGGGATTCTACCCGGGGTTTACTCCTCTTTGGAGGCTCTGCTTGGCTCTGCTCTGCTCCAGATGAGTCATGGACACTGTTACTGCAGCAACGCTGCTGCCAAGGAGGGGGATAAAGCTGTTGCCATGGTGCTGGATGGGCAGGAATTCTGCAGGAGTAGAAACACTTAATAATTAACTTGCAGACAAACGCGGCTTCAGATTTGCCAGCGTGCTCCAGGGAAGGTGTCCTGGGCTCCTGGGTGACTGCTGCCTGTTGCCAACAGCCTTCCCAGGGAACAGCCAGTGGCCATGGGCCCAGGGAGGGGAAGCTGGGCTGTGGGAAGCTGTGCCTGCTTCCTTCAGTTGGTGTTTTGCATGCTGGTGCTCGGAGCTGGGAAGTTGTGGGGCGGGTTAGGAATTGGGGTGGCTGATGTGTCAGAGCTCAAAATCACAGTGTAATTGCAGGACATCTCCCTGAGGAATGCTAAACATCAGGGCCTAAGGCGAGGGATGGGTTTGAATTCCTGTCCTGTCATCGTGGCTACTGTTAAAGACACAAAAGGAAGATTTTCGTGCAGTTCTTGGGATATTTGACCTAACACAGCCTTGTGGGTTTTTTTGTGGTAGTGAAAAAGGCAAGGTTTTAGCTTGTTCTTCCTGGCAGTTTGGATGCTGGTGTCAGTTTTCCTTGTGCTGTGTTGATAGGGAAGGGAAAATCCCTGCCAAATGCCAGGGATGCTTTGAGCACTGTCCTCTGCCTGAACACCCATTTATAGAAACTGTAGAAACTCTGAGTGTTTTGGCTTAAGAAGGACCTTAAAGATCATCCACTTCCATCCCCTCTGCCATGCAGGGACACCTCCCACTAGAACAGGTTGCTCCAAGCCCCATCCAGCCTGGCCTTGAGCACTTCCAGGGATGGGGCATCTACAAATTCCAAATTCTCTGGTATTCCTTTGAGTATTCACCATATGGGGTTGTTGGAGAGCAGTAAAACTGGCCAGGGAGAACATTTAACACCTCTGTTCCTTGTACTGAGCTTATTTGGACAGTTCTCCAAGTTATGGAGATTTGGAAGGAATAAAAGGCTTCTAGGAAAATGCTGGTGCCAGGTGTTTGTGCCCAGCAGCTCAGAAGTCTTTCACAGTGGTCTTGGATTTCTTAGACCTGTGCTGAAGTTGGGTTGGCATGGGCAGGTCTGAGCTCTGAGCACATGTAACTTGTTTTTATGTATTCAGGCACAGAGCCTCAGGTGGATGGATTTGTTGGAGTTTCAGAAATAGGAAAGCAGACAGAAATAAGTGATTAGCTCAGATTAACAGCAGGAATTAGGAGCTGAGAAAGTGTTTTGAATTAGAATGTTAAAGTTTTGTTTTCACCTTGGAACCTCCAGAACCAGTCTCCTACATCAATCAAATGCGCTGTTGTTTGAAAGCTGACCTGGCTTGTCTACACAGAACATTTCTTTAGATCTGTCAGGGTAAAGTGAGTTATTGGAGCTGCATTCAGTCTGTGCTGTATGTGCTCCTTCCCCAGGGAGGAGGGTGATTCCTATGCCAGGAGCTGGCTCAGGGCACAGCAAGGCTGAAGGCCAAAACTGTGGGGATTTTAGTAGTGGAATCCTCATCCCTGGAAGTGTTCAAAAGGCCTGTGGATGTGGCACTTGGGACATGGTTTAGTGGTGAGCACAGCAGTGCAGGGTGAAAAGTTGGACTTGATGACCTTAGGGGGCTTTTCCAACCTTAACAACTCTGTGATTCCATCTTTGACTTTCTCTCAAAGATACTCACAGCAGGGAAGGGCTCTGCTCCCTGTTTTCCTGACACAGGGAAAGGCTTCAACATCATTTTCAGTGCTGAGGGAAACAAGCCCTGGTGTGGTGAGAAGAGGCCACCCTTTGTCTGCAGAGGGCTGGAGCGGGGAGGTGGCACAGGGGAGGACACTCCTGTTCCAGTTAAGTGCAGTCAGCTTAGCTCCCAAAGCTGCTTAGCCCTCGCATTCTGCCACAGGGCAGTTTTTAAAACAGGCAAAGCCTCTTAACCGTGGAAAGGCTGGGATTTGATGGAGGTGCTGACTAGTCTGGGAGGACATGGATGCAGGAGTTGCTGGCACAGAGTTGGAAAAAGGTGATGACCTCTGTGTACTGGGGGAGAGAATTCTTTCCCCTGTCCTGTCTGAGCAGGGCAGTTTGAGCCTCCAGAGCTGAGATTGTCTTCAGAGACATCAGTTTTGAATTAAAACAGGCAGTAGTGGAGATGCATTTGGGCTGCTCTTGCTGCTGGTGTGGTCTCCAGAGAGCAGCCAGAAATTCCTGGTGTTTCAGGGCAGCCTTCATTTAAATTTACTTCCCCCTGCAGATTATTTGTGCACTCCTGAGGAAAATGTTTACAAGATAGACTTCACCAGGTTCAAAATCCGGGACATGGAATCTGGCACAGTCTTGTTTGAAATCACCAAGCCAGCAGCTTCAGGTGAGTGCACACACAAAATAAGGTTTCCATGAGCAAATGCTTTCTTTTGCCTTTCCCCACTCCTTTAACTCCATACATTTCCCAAAAGTAACAGAGTCTGTCCACTGCAGGAGGGCTGGAGCCCCATCTTGCAGCAGGAATGTTTTTCAGGTGTCTCTTTGTACTGACAGGGTGAGCAGAGCTGGCTGCTGCTGTGCTCTTCCTGTTGCCATCTGTGATGGGAAGGGACAGATGGATGTTGTAAACAGGAGCAGAGGAGGAGGAGGAGATCACTGGGTGGTTTTTTCTTGGCTGTTATTCAGCTTGTGCCCCCTGCACATAGTTTAGCTGTTAGTTTAACATCTCTCACTGAGGAGTCAGGAAAATGGTATTTCCAAAGGGGAGAAACTGCCAACAGGCAAATGAAACAAACTGAGCATTTGCCTTTTTTATTTTTTTGATTTGAATAATTTTTAGGTGTTACTTGTAAGCATCCAAGTGTTGCCTGTTGCCAGTGGTGATAAAAACCCAGGGCAGCTGTTCTTTTCCTGGCCAAGCACTTTTAGCCCTTCCCCACCTCCCTGCAGGTGAGAAGAAATTATCTGTAGCTTATAGGTAGCAAACCAAGCATGCTAAGGGGAAATGGCTTGTCCAGAGTCACTCTGCAGTCCTGATGTGAGGAATAGAAATCCAGAAGATAAGAAATTACTCCAACCAAAGGGCCATCTCTCAGCATTCCATTCCATTCCTCTGAGTGACCAAGGGCGGACACCTCAGGACAGGAGGAGGGGAGAGCTCAGCACCAGAGTGATTCCCTGGCTTAGGTGGCTCAAGAACACCACCACAGGTATTTCCCCTGAGTTTGTGGTTCTCAGGCAGCTCTGACAGAGCCTTCCTTGGGCTTTTGCAGAGCGGGAGCACAATGACAGGAAGGACGTGGACCCCAACGCCGGACGCTTCGTGCGCTATCAGTTCACGCCGGCCTTCCTCAGACTGCGGCAAGTGGGAGCCACGTGAGTAACCCCCTGCTCCTTGGCCTGGCACAGAAAACAGCTGAAATCTTGGGGAAAAAAACCCCTCTTTTCCATGTTCATCCTGCCAGGAAGGTGATTGAACAGGGGGCTTTTCCATTTATTATGCGGCTCTCCAAATCTCTGTCGCTTTAGGTTTAGTCACGGGTAGGTCTGGTGCTGAAGGGATTGATGGTAAAAGAGGCAAAATAAAGTGGGAAGGCTCTGGGGAGACCTTAAAGCACTGTCCAGTGTCTGAAGCGACTCCAAGAGAGCTGGAGAGGGACTTTTGCAAAGGATCTGGAGTGACAGGACAAGGGGGAATGGCTCCCCAGTGCCAGAGGGCAGGGATGGATGGGATATTGGGAAGGAATTGTTCCCTGTGGATGCTGAAGCCCTGGCACAGGCTGCTCAGAGAAGCTGTGGCTGTTCCATCCCTGGAGATGCCCAAGGCCAGGTTGGATGGAGCTTGGAGCAACCTGGGGTAGAGGAAGGGGTCCCTGCCCATGGCAGCTTTAAGGTGTTTATCTAATGCTGTGGTGTGTCCTTGTAGAGTGCTTTAAGTAAAAGAGGAAACAATAATTCGATTAGTGCTGTTGCTTTATATTTTTGGCTTTTTTTTTAATCAGAGCTCTCTTCTGCCTTGCAGGAATACTGCAGATCTTATTGAAGCATGAAAGCTCACGTCAGTTTTACCCTTCTTTTTCAGGGTGGAATTCACAGTAGGGGACAAACCCATTAATAATTTCCGTATGATCGAGCGGCACTACTTCCGTGACCAGCTGCTGAAAAGTTTTGATTTTGAATTTGGCTTCTGCATCCCCAGCAGTAAAAATACTTGTGAGCACATCTATGAATTCCCCCAGCTCTCGGAGGATCTCAGTAAGTTCTTTGTTATAAACTTTCATGTCTGGGTTGTCACACCATGACGTTCATGGTGTTTTGGGGGAGCCCCTTCTTAAAAGCTGTCTCTAGAGAGTGGGTGGGGTGGAATAATTCATCCTTTTATATTTGTGTTAACACTGATTTTGTTTTCTAGTAGGATGTATCTCATCACACACCAGGCAGTTGCTTGGGTTTGTTGTTTTTTTTTTTTTTTTTAATTCATAAAAGAGAAGCTTTGGTATCAGGGGAAGAAAAGATAATTGTGTTATAAAACAAGCAAAAAATAAGATTAAAAAGACATCCAATAAATGGATAACTTAAATGTTATGATCTGTTTTAATGTTTGATGTGCTATATTGTGAGCTTGAGAGGTTTTAGTATGAACATAACTTTTATTTCCTCTCCTCTCTCCCAAGACACAATAGCACAAGCACTAAATCTCTGTGATTTTCCTCTTTACAACCCCTAATTGTGTGTGTCAGCAGTAATATTGCAGTCTGTGGAAAATACAGTGAGGCCCTGCTGTCAGGCCGGAACAAATTTACTTTGAGTTTGCTGTTTAACCACTGTTTTTAAAAACAAAACAAAAAGAACCCCAACCTAAAATGTAATGGGTTCTTATTCTGAGGTCCCCTTTATATGGTGCCATAATGTATTTGGATTATGAACATTTTTCATCCCTGAAATTGTTCAAAGAAAGTGTGGATGTGGCACAAGGGTTTAGTCAATTCAGGTTGGATTTTAAGGCCTCTGAGGGCTTTTCCAACATAAAACCTCCATAATTATGCTTGAATTATTTAAAAGATGACAACAAGGAGTGGCCTGGGCAATTCCCATTTGGGTTTTGCTTTTTCACCTGATTTTGCAGCTGCTTGGGGGATGCTGAACAATGCTTGAGCCCAGCATTGGGGAGTGTTCCTGAAATCAGGGTCTCCTCCAGCCAGGTCTCATAAACTCTTGGAGATCTATTTCACACCCAAGCTACCTTAGAAGGTATAAAATCAGCAGGATGGCTTCTGTGGTAGTGTTGGAAACAAAAAAAAATTTAATAAAAGGCAAAATAACAAAACTCTTTACAGAGAAAAACTGATCCAGGTGCAAGAGGTCCTTGCCCCTGGTAAAACACAAAAACCATGAGTTTCTTTGTTCTCTTCTTTTTCTAGTAAATTGCTCAGGTGGGACTTTTAGGCTCCTGTCCAAGTTTGAGGTGAAGTCCCCCAGGTCCTGTGAGGTGTCTTCTCACCTAATTGAGCAGAGAAACTTCTGGGCTCTTTTCCTTTTAGAGGAGACAAAGGACAGTTTTGTCGCTCCGTTAACAGGGAGCACATTCCTATATGTCCCTGTTAATTGGTTAATTGGTTAATTGGGTTTTTTTTCCCCCCCCTCACAGTTCGAGAGATGATCCTGCATCCCTACGAGACACAGTCGGACAGTTTCTACTTTGTAGACAACAAGCTGGTGATGCACAACAAGGCAGATTATTCATACAGTGGAGGACCTTGAGCCTGGGCTGGGTGGCCCCAGCCATGCTGGCCTCCCCTTCCCTCTGGAAGTCGTCAGGGATCCCAACACCTCCAGCTCCTGCAGTGTCACCTGGACAAGGATCCACCAACCAAGGACTCTTTGCCACAGTAGGAGTTTCATGACATCTCTTTTGAGCTTTGAAGCAGACCCAGTTCTTCAGAAGTTTTTAAGCTAAAAATGATCTTTGGATACCACTTCCCTAAGTTCTTTTAAGTGTCTGCTTTGAAAATGGCCTTGTGGGACCTGAGGGGTTTTTGCCCTAATTCTGTGAATTTATGTTCTTGCCCCCGAGTATCTTTTAGGATTGCTTCCCCAAAGAATGTAATCAGAGAAAACCATGGGTGTGGATGGATGTAAAGGCAGAGGTTTGGGTGGTTGTTTCTCTTTGTGGATGCTTCAAAGGCCAATTTAACTTGTCCAGCCTGTTGAAAATATCGAGCAAAACATCTCACAAAGGCAAGTTCCATCTTTAGACTGGCTCTCTCCATGAGTATTTCACCCTTTGGTTTCAATCCTTCTGTGTAATGTTCTGTTTAACCTTGGAAACACCAAAACCTGCAATGAAGAGCAATAGTTCAGTGACACAGAGCTGTGTTAATTGGGTGTTTTTGCATTTACATTCCTTTTACATTTCAGATGAAGGTAAAATGGCATTGTGGGTCTATGAACCTCCATAAGCACATTCCACTGATTGCAGTTTTTTGCAGAATAATCAGGAAAAACAGAAGGATTTTAGCTTTATTTAACATTCTTGCTATATTTAACATTCAGCCTTTTCATGCCACACATTTCCCATGTCTATTTTTTTCATCTCTGCTCGATACCAAGATAAGGACTTCAGCACTGCTTGTTACAGCAACATTTTAATTGTCTAGGGCAGCTGGGGAGTGTGGAATTTCCAATTTTCTATGTGTATCTGCATTTAAAGGAGGTTAAGACAGCGTTTCCCCTTTGTTAAAAACATTTCTCATCAGATAATAATACAGGTGAAGCTAAATCTAATAATCTAAAACTTTAACACACAGCAAAAAAAATAGCAAGAGTTCTCTCTTCTCTTCTGGAAGAAGTTTAACACCAATTTAGCCCAAGAAATAGCAACACCAAGAATAAACTAGTGTGGGGTGACCTGTTGTCATGAAACCCTTACTCTGAAGGTCAGTTCACTGATACTTAAAAAAAAAAAAAAAAGAAAAAAACAACAAAAATAAAAGACAGTTGCAGTCTGTAGATATTTCTATAAATACTTGATGTCTCCATGTCTAATTCTGTGAGTTGAAGTGGAACATTCTATGTTAGCCTCAGATAGGTGTAATAATTGTAATAATTTTTATAAAAATACCATTTCCAGTTGTGATGAGCATCTCTGTAGTCGCAGCCTGTGTCAGACAGGACAAACAATTCCAAGTGTAGCCTCAGGCCAGGGAGGTTTTTGTGCTCTTGTTGGGGTTGTGGTCACTTTTCAATGTGTCACCATTTGTATTTGGCTTTGCTTTTTTGACTGCTGAGAGAGGAGGCAGTTTTTTTTTCTTTAAAAACCCAGTGATTTTAGGTTACAGCACAGTTTTTATTAAGCTTGGTAGCTACAAAAGTGTGTCAAGTTCACTGATTTTACACAAGTAGTAGCTTGTAGTAATTCTTATCACAGTGAGACTTGTATTTATCACTATTTTTTGTCTCTAGTGTGTTAAATTATACAAGTAGTCTACAGCTGACTGATCAGTTTGAGAGATACAAAGGATTTCCTCATTATTTGTGCTGTACTTTGAGCTACTGACCATTAATTTTATAGCACAATAATTACTAAAGATGGAAATAGGTTCAAAAATGTTTTCATTCCTCCCCCAACTTCTTTCTTTTTTTTTCTTTTTCAATCAGGGCTGTTAAATCATATATCCAATCACATTCTGCAAGATTTAGGTATTTCTGAGCTTTGTTTCAATTTGCAGGAGAAAAAAATGCTAATTTAAAGACAAAATGTTAATAATTACCACCCTTTACAGGGTTTTTTGGGGGGTTATTTTTCACCTGCTGTTCATAACAGTCACTTCAGTGCAAAGATTTTTTAAAAGACTTTTAGGAATTGAATTTGCCCAGAATTGCCAGTCATCCATTTAATATGTTGTGATGAGATCAGTTGTACTTTGGGTCATTTGATGGAGTTTCCTCTGAAATAGTTATGTTCTGCTCCTTTTTTATGCTATCTCCTTCTAAGACTTACGAAAAAGAATAGTAATTCCATAAAAATATTACTGTAATCAAGGGAAATTTGAGTGGTGGACATGCCCCTTATAAAAGAACCAAGAGAAAGTCACTGTGTTCCCAGGAGTGCAGAGTGTGGATGGAATTTCTGACATTTCTCTAGTGCAGTTTTGAGGTTAAACACAAGAGGATGAATTATCATCTGCTCCTCTCTGAAATCTTTTATAATTCAGATTATAGATGTAATAATTCCAGTCTCACAGAAAATTTACTGTGAATCATATGGGAGCTATTACATTGAGTGAGTTTGTAACCAATTTTAGCTTTAGCATTTCAGTTAGGACAATTTTACTCTTATTAAAAATCCCCAGAGTTTGTCACAAGCAGCAAATTCCGATTCCTAAACCAAGGCAAACAACAGAACTTTCTGTGGGAAGTGCAATGCAAAAGGTGCTTTTTCCTGTGTCCCACTGGAGCAGTTATCACTGTTATCTCTCTGTTTCACTTGGGAATTATTTGTTAGCGTTTCCTCAAGGCCATCCACATCCACCATCTTTGCAAACGCGTGGGAATCACTGTCCAGGAGAGAGATTTTGTCCCTTTCCCACCTGCTCGTGCAGCAGCATCACGTGTGGTGTTGACATGAGGCACATAAACAGCACTAAAAGAATGTTTGTTCAAAAATTTTGGCTGTAGAGTTGCTGTTTTCATGCCACTTCTGTCCTTGCTTTGCTTAAAAACCACCTTCAAAACTGAGTGTTAAAGACCAAGCTTTGTGCAGCACCCAATAATTTCAACTTCCTTCTGAAAGGGAGCTGAGTTTGCAGCCCAGTTGTGAAACCCACATTTTTTCCCTTAAACTGGCAGCTGGTTCTTATTATAAACCAGTTGAGAATAAAGTCTTAGCAGCATTGTTCACAGAAGAATTTGTTAATCTTCTTGCCTAGCTATTATTTTGTATTTTAACGTTCATCATTATTGGGTTTACTTTGGAAGTTCATTGCGAAATCACCAAATATTGGCTCTGGGAAAAAAGGAATTGTTGTATTTTCTTCCTTGATCTCATTTTAAACATGACTTTAATTAGCACTACAGCTTTGTTTTAACAAGCCAGCCTGGCAATTTGGGATCTGAATTTCTCAAAGTGAAAGAAAACATCCAAGAGCTAACCAAGATTATCTGCTAATAATGCCCTCCGTTTCCTGTCATAAAACAGGATTAAGTGTGTGCTTTACACAGTGACTTAATCTTGGAAAAAGAAACTAAGTCTCTCTGAGTGCTAATAGTGACATAATTTTTCTGAGAGACAGGGAAATTACAGCTCAACACATTCTTTCAGGGAAATTATAATTTGACATATTTTCTTCACTTTGTCAGTCTTGGATTCCTTTCATAGTCAGGGTTTTTAAGGAAAGCAGCAATACATTGCTGGTGAGCTGCATGCTCTAATAACTCACACTTCTGTGGCAGGGAGAGAACAATTTTTTTTTTTTTTTATAATTAACACATCAGCTGTGGTTGAAAATTTAGAAGCTTTGCTCTCAGTTCAGTGGCAGAAGCCAAAATTGTTTCTGTGAATTATCCGTTATGTGGTGACACTTCTGAAATAGCTGAATGATCCGCCCTTCCTGACTCAGAAGAGTTTATTTATTTATTTATTTTAATGTAGGAAGTCTCCCCAGGGTTGAAAACAATCTGCTGGGGTTTAGTTCTTGCTCATAATCTCTCTCTATGTCTTGTTTTTTGAGCAGGTCAGTAAGATGCTCTATTTTCCACCTCTGTCCTCTGAGTTTTATTCCAAAACCTTGTGTAGTGTTACAGTGGTGGCTGGCTCTGTGTGAAACATGCAGGCAACTTCCAAAATCTCTTCAATTTGAGAAAAAGCTGTTGAAGTATATTGAGAATTATCCTACATATCAACCCATAAGAAATAAACTCCCAATCTTAAAGACAAAAGCTGCAGGGAACTTTTAGTTATGCAAAGATTGGGGCTATTTAAGGTAAGAAAATGCTAATACCCAACTGTCATATTTAGTAAGTATTATAAAAATGCTCTATTAATTATTCATAGCCTGGAAAAGGTGGTTAACAGCTCAGTTTTAATTAGATCTGGTTAGGAAGGGAACCATAGAAATCATTGCTGTCGTTTGGGGCTGTGGGGCAGCAGCTGGAGCTGTGTGTGTGACACAAAATTTGGGCAGATTTGTCTGCCTTTTGGGGGGAAAGTGAGGGAAAGGAGGACAAGGACAGGAAAAAGCATCAAATTCAGCTCTTTGGGCCCAAGAGCTTCAAGGCCTTGGTGAGTGACTCAGTTTTCTCCTGGGTCTGAGGCAGCTGGGAGTTCCTGCTCCTGGTTCTTCTCTCTACCCCCAGCCTAAACACTGCCTAAATTTATAGAGGATTTTTAATATTCATGTTAAATACCACTGAGGGTTCATATCATGTAATCCACATGGAAATTGCTGATTTATTTGAGGGCTGTGGTACTCGGGGTCTCACCTTGCAGCTCAGTTGTTCTCCCCATCACTGGTCAGTGGGTGAAATGGTGTTTGTGTGTCTGCAGCCCCCCAGAAACCCCCTGTGCTCCTGCCTGCTCTGGTGTCTGCTTGTATCTGAATACACCCAGCAAACCTGTTTGAATGTGACTTTTTTTTTTTTTTCCTTGGCATAGAAACAGAATTGTCTGTATTAAAATGTATTTATAAAAAAAAAAAATCTATTTTTTGTGGAAGGAAAGTAGGATTCTGGTTACTATACCACTGGGAAAACGTTAGGAGCATTTTTACTGAGTTGATTTCTAATTCTTTGTACTTTGGTAGTGATTTGTTTGCTAGGAGAACATCCACTGTGGCCCATCCTGTGGCAATGCAATGCACTGTCATGCAGAGAATCTGGTTTTCAGAAAACTGGGAGTCCTTTGTTTCCTTTTTGGGACAGGAGGAAACTGAGGAGATCACCAGGAATAGAAGGAACCTTGGCACAGAATCCATTCTGTGGCTTTAGCTTCAGCCTGTTTGACTTTTTGCAGATTAAGTAGAGAGAGAGAGAAAAGATTGAGACTTCAGGATTAAAAAAAAAATAAAATTAGTTGCTACAATTTAGTCTTCCTGTAGGAGAAGGAGAGTCCTTAAATTAATTTATACAAGGTTTAAATAGGGACTGCACTTGCTTCAATTGGTTTAATATTGGCAGCTTAGTCATTGATGTGCATCCTAGGGAATATGCTTAACTTTTTCCATTACCTTGGAAAATGGTTCAAAAACATGTCACTTCCATTAGCAAGTGTTTCTTCTCCTGTAACAAATTGCAAAATGTGTAAAAAAAAAAAAAGAAATAAATTATTGATCCTAGAAACGAGGGTGATTGTCTATTTTATTTAAATATTTCTGTGAAAAAAGCATTCAAACTTTCATTTTAGGTCTCTTCCATCAATATTCAAACTCCAGTTTTTGTGCAAATGTGTGTGAGCAGCTTCATTTTGTGGTGATTGGTGGAAAGACTCTGCAGTGGTTTGGGTAGTTCTGTGGGTAAAACCATCACATTAAAACTGTTCAACTGGGATTTAACTTTCAGATCGGGAAAATGTCTTGGGGTGTAATTAAAATAAATTGGTATCAATTACATTAATGGCACTTTGGATTGTACAGATCACAGCTGTGTATCAGGCTGTGATTTTAAAAAATGTGCAAGTTTGAAAACTCAATTTGAGAATTTGAAAAAATGAAAAACGAGAAAAATAAATTAGTTTCAAAGTACATTAACAGAACCTTGGCGTTCCCTGGATCACTCTTATGCACCAGGTTGTGCTTCTGAAGAATTTCTGGCTGCACTTTGGAGAATCAAGTTTTGAAATTCATGTGAAAATTGCTGTCTCTGCCTTATTGACTAAAACTGAACCAGCAGCATGGGCTGAAGTGATTTTTACTGTGGTAATTCCATCTTGGTGGCTTTGATATTTTATTCAGAAATTCCTGGGAATACCTCTGTGTTTCTCTGGGAGCAGAACAACTCTAAGAAGAAGAGAAGTAGGATGGTTTTCTTTGAAAATATCTTCTATAACTCATTTTGATTCCACAGAATTCCTGTGGACTCCTCACTGCCACAATATCCTGGGGGACATCGTTGTGTGCTGGAATTTGAGGGAGGAATTTATTAATACAAGGGTTTCCCTTTTGGATTGTGACTTGGAATTCTTGCAAGGACTGGATGCTGATTCACAGAATACCTAAAAAAAAAAAAAAAATACCAAAATCAAGGCTATTAACTAATAAAGCAGGTTATACAGTCTCTCTGATTACCTGGACTTGCTTAGACATCTGAGGTTGCAAAGAGCCTTAAAAGAAAAAAAAAAAAATTATTCCCATGAAAACTCCACAGTGTTGAATGTCTGCCAAAAATACCCTGCATTACCAGTGCTCCCCCTACCTTGAGCTGGTTTGTCAGTCTCATTTATTAATAAATATGCCTGATCGTTCTGGAGATGTTTTCTGCTTCTCCTCAGATTCTTATTTCCTTTGGCATTTCTCAGCTGCTGAGTTATTGTGGCAAATCTTATGTGTTCACCCCGTGTTCTGTTTTATTTGTCATTGTTCAAGGGCATTCATCTATCTCTGACTTGCATTCCCTTAATGTTTTTCACTTGTAGGAAGAACACTTCTCA